CAGCCCACTTTCTCTTTTCAGCACTGTATCAACTTGTGAAAACTTACAGCCAACAAGCATATGTAATTTCTGAAGCTAATAAGTTTAATAACTTTATATTAGTTAGGCATAGGCTTACCATAAAGTAACTTCAAAGATACACCAGTGCAACTCTTGTAACTTTCATGATATACAACATCGATTTTAGCAGTTACATATCATTATATTTCAAATGACAGCTCTAAAAGAATACATGACTGAGTAAAACTCAGTGTATTAATAATAGATAGCTCACTAACCACATGATTAGTAGTGTAGGCAAGTTGATATAAACAAAATCAACATCATAATCGTTGTTCAGATGAGGTTGCATAACTACAGTGGTTAGTAGTCATCGAACATTTATTGGAAGTGATCCACAGCATAAATTATCTTTTTGATGTGGTTTTCTTCTCTGAGCTGGACACAGTCACACCAAAATCATCCACCTGAGCTACAAATCTTCTGTCTTCATTTAGCTTGGGAGTACAAACAGAATTTGGAGAAGTGAGGAAATACATCTAAAAGAGAGTAAGAACAACTGATGAATGTTGTGAAACATACAGAAGAAAGCTTGAAAAATAACTCACAGGGTTAGAGACTCTCCAACGAAACCTCTGGACATTAATTCTGATGGGATGGTACACGAAAAGGTATACTAATAGATCTCTCGTTTATAGGACAATAACCGTAAATGAACTTCGTTCAGAGAGGTTAAAAAATAGGGTTCTGGAAATCTCCACCTATTATTGTAGAGTACTCACTCAACTATGAGTAATATATAATACTTAAAGAGCATAACCACAGATGGGGATCAACTGAAACATCCTGAAAATATATTAAGCGTGCTGCAGAGATGATAACAATTACTTGATTTTTGACAAACGGTACCTATAAAACACGTGCATATTTAAAGATTTTCAGATGAAAATAAGCACACTGGAAACAAATTCAAGACTTTAAAATACACCACTTCTTTGACTCTTCGTTTAAATGACTCTCATGGTATGATGAATCGTAAATTATTTAGACACGCAGGTGAAAAGAAACATTCATCTTTTAGGAAAAGAAAAGGACCAACCACATATTCAAGAAATCAATAACCACACTGACTGTAGTTATCACACCTAAACGTGGTATATATTGAGTTAGTCTTTGATCTTTCCCATTGTAAAAAGCGGATTAGGAAACATTTCATATAGTGTTCTGCGTTGTTCACCTAATATGCCAACATTTTTTCAAGTAATAGTTTAAGTTTATTCATGACCAACAGTACTGTTCATGAAAAATATCCATTTTGATGAACGTCAGTCTAAGATTTGTAAAATATTAGTTCTGAGAAAGCCCGCAGTTTTCATTGGAACCGTGTCAGGTGATCCAAAACGGAAAACTCAGCGAGGTGTTCAAAGTGAATACAAGAGTAAGGCAAGGCTGGCTGCTCACTGTCACCAATGTTATTCCTAACTGTGGTGGACTGGATTATGCATCACACTGTGAGAAGTGAGGAGACAAGAATACAATGGACCACCGATAAGAAGACTCTGGAAAATTTGGACTTCGTGGACGGCTAACGTCACACAAACTCGAAGATTTACAGGTGAAAACCAACTAACTAACTAAAGAAGCAAGCGGCAAAGAGAAGACCCCACGTGAACATAGAGAAGACGGAGGTGATGAAGATAACCAACCACCACCACCAACAACAACAACAACAACCAGCACCAATCATCACTATCAACGAGAGAGGTTACTTACTTCACTTATCCGGCTAGGAAGCATGATTTCAAACACAGGCCGGCGGAACAGATGAAGATGTCAAAACCGACAAGAATCGGAAAGGCGAGATACGCCTTCATCAACCTGAAACCAGTCTGGAAATCTCCTGCACCAACTCACCCTAAAGAAGAAGATTCGAATTTTCAACACAAATATGAAGTCAGTTACTGCTTCTATATGGGTCTGAAACATGGCGCCCGAGTCATGAAAAGCATTTCCAACAGACCACTGCAGATTTACATCAACAGCTGTCTTCTCTGACACCACATTGAAGATCAAATGACCGGCCGGCCGGACAGAAAGAATTAGTAACAAAAATCTCTAACAGCAAGCCAACCAAGAGCCGGTCACTCAACAAATATGTAGGAGAAAATGTAGACGGATCGGGCATTCGTTGAGGAGGCCGTCGAGTGATATCGCGCGCTCCAGTGGAACCCTAATGGGAAGCGACGAGTGGGTCGTCAGCGCAAGGCTGACACGGAGGAGATCATGCGAGGCGGAGATGACAGATTATAGGAAGTCATGGACGCAGATGTGAAGAGGACACCAGAGGACAGAACAAAGTGGGGATATGCTGCTGAAGCTATTTTTCACTCAAAATACAAGGAAATAATAATATATTTTCTAAAGTGGTGAAGTATTAGGTATGTATGAGTAATTCGTAATACTGTAATCTGATGCACGTCTATATATGGTTGTATGTAGACCTTTCATTCAGGTTGTATGATTAGATTGTGATTATATGATCATTTCTCTAATGGTAAAATCTGGGTGGCTTTATTGCTTATCCCTGCTAACTGTAGCGTCTTAGTTCGTTGCCATGGTGATTTAATGACAAGTTATACTTTCTCTGTGGTTTTTAAAAAGTGAAACTTTGTCGTAAAAAATTATTCTGGCGTACATATTATCGGTAGCATTATATTCTTGAAGTGCGTTGCATTTACTGCACTTTTGTCAGAAAATGTCACTTGTTACTCATATCTGAGCATTGTAATCAATTAAACGATGCAGTAACTCTAAAGTTTAAACGTATATTTCAAGGTTTTCATGAAACGATGTTAGTATATTTGGCCTATTTATTGAAATTCAACAGTATCCGCTTGATAAAGCAGGTAGTACTGAAACGGTAGAAAACGAAATACATGGTAATGGAATGTTTATTGGCAACGCACCACTTGCACAGACCATCTTGGTTGTTCTACTTCTGGCTTTCCTTCATATTGTCTTTCTTTGTGTTCCTTTCACGTCTCACATGTATCTCCATAATGCTGTATCATTTCCTTTCTCTGACATCAAATGTAGCTCCCTGCTGTTTGATGCCTTTATGCCGAAGAACGTCAGTAGCACACGCCACAGTACCACTTCAAAAAAAAGATATGCCATATAGTAGTCACTCGCAAAATATTGCTCATAAGAATTCTTTTTTATCATGAGCTGACATTGGTTAGAGAACCATTGGAAAACCAACAGAGTACTGGACAGACAGCTGTTTCGTCCTAGTTTGGGACTCTTCATCAGCACGCACCCACCGGGATTCGAATCCAGGACCTTCTAGTTACAAGACCAGGTAGCTCGTAGACCATTGAACCACTCACTGGGACCCGATCCAATGGCCAGCCCATGAATTCCAACTTCTGAGAATTCACGATATAGCGAAACCGCTATCCAATGTCTTCGGCGAGTATTTGTCCTCACACCCGACTTGCTGCACCCTGGTGGTCACAACTTTCCACTAGAACCCACAGGAACCTACCTGAATAGGGCCAGTCGCCAGTAGCATCTCATTGATATTCAAGTATTGGTTTGTATGGATTTGGTTGATTGGTTACGGGTTTTCATCATGAGCTGACATTGGTTAGAGAACCACTGGAAAACCAACAGGGAGTACTGGAGAGCTGTTTCATCCTAGTTTGGGACTCTTCAGCAGTACGCACCCACCGGGACTGTAACTAATCAACCAAATCCCTACAAACCAACACTTGAATTCTTTTTTAGTTGGGATTGCTTATCTATGTTGGGTGCATTTATTATATGTCATTTTCTGTTAAATCATCTGTGAGTCATCGCATAAGGCATTGACCTGTTAATTGCCGCATTCACAAATGCAAGTTTCCATCCAGTAACTGTTTAGAACAAAGACAAATCACAACAACATATCGACTATCCGAAATGCGAGATATATTTCGGGATCAGAATCGTAGTGCGATGATGACTGCTCAGCTAGCTAAGGATCATCCACGAACAATCAAATGTAGCGTGGAAGCGTCCCGAATGGTAAGCATGCTTGACCGCCTACCTTCAGCTCAACAAGTCGGCTTAAACAGTGAAAGTCGCATCCAGTGTTAATGAAAACTGATGTAAACTAATAATTTCGGTGAACTATTTACCGCCACAGGAACACGAATAAACAGGTAATAGTAGTCGTTTAAGAAGTATTCGATTATAATACACGAACATGTGCGTGAATGCAGTAGAGTGATGTACTTCTTTTTCACAGCTCATTTATCTTGTTTGGTACGAGTATTTGATGCCAACCACTCTTTTCACATGACAATAACTAATGAAGCAACTTACTTTTCTCCAAATTGTTGCCTTATAACCTTAAAATAGCTCTAAACCGTCGTCTCACTCACCCTTGGCAACTTTTTGTGCTCTCTCACAGCTTGTTAACTCCTTAACTCTTTATCAATGAATTTAGTATCCGTCAAGGTCACCTAACAGATTAACTCAGCAGTACTCTCAAAATTCATCACTGCTGTTTGGGATAGTTGAAAGCTCTCCCTCTCAGCTGCCTGTCTTCTCTTCTTGTTACTGCATGCTGATGGTTTTGTTCTTTTGTTGATTGACATTGTAGTTAATGAGTAGTATAGTTTTCTTAGCACCATTAAGTTCATATCGTTGACAGTCTGCTAGGTCGCACTCCAAGTCAGTCATACAGTCATCACCTTATATCACATCTAAGTCTCATCATGATTCCAGGAAATCGATAAAGTAACGTGTGTTTGTGGGTTCGATTGTAGAGCGATCGTCAACCAAGCATGTGGTCGAAGTTCGACTCCTGGCCAACTCCTTACTCAACTTCACTTAGCTGGTAGTAAAACCTAGTAAAAAGAGGAGGGAGGGTGGGCTTGAGCCTAGTAACCCACCATTATTGGCAGCACTTCAAAGCTGAAGAGCTTAAAAACCCCTCGAAATGCAAATGATTAAAAAAAATGAAGTAACACTAATTTTATAAGAACAATAATCTTTTTTATTTGGAAAAAGAAATATTAACACTATTATAATTCTATATAAAAGAAGAAAAGAAAGAACCAAAGAGTTACACACATGAACGTTCACTCACTCATTCAACAATAACTGTAGTGAATTATTTTTTAAAGAATAACAGGGCAGGATATGCTTCAACACTTTGAAAGATGAAAGGGTGATGAAAGAGAAAATTACAAAAGAATCAAGCAAATAATACATAATTACACAACTACAATACACACATGCACACATACGCACATACAAAATATCATGTTAAGCGAACACACATAGTCTGAAGGGATCAGTTACAATCACAACAACACATAAACACACACCAATGTAGTAAAGGCTAATCACAGACCTAGATGGAAACAAACATACAAAGATTTGATGATGGTAAGCTGGACAGATAAAAAAAGATACAGAATTAAAGTGCTGTACAATATCATCATCATCACTATTATGATTATCATTTGTCTTGTTAGCGTAGTCGGCGGCGTCGTCCTCTATAATTTTGTCGCTCAATGTGTCCCAATATGTGTACAAAAGAACAATAGGTTGAGTACGATTCAAACATAGGTTGGAGAACTGAAAAACAACCATCATACTTTTCGCTGTCTCTCTTTCTCGAATCAGACAAAGGAATGACTACTAGATAAGAAGTGGGGTAGGGGTACACTACTACTTACTTCCACCATGTAGATGTGAAAAGTCGTCGACAGACTTTAACTTACCAAAACAAAAATATCACACATGACCAATATATGCACACGAAAACTGCTGAATACTGCGCAGAGAGTTGTGTGTTGTAATCAGATAATAGGTACGAATAGAAGGAATCAAGTGTAGTAGACCTCGACAACAGCAACAACAAAACAAAAAAAGAAACACGCTGTGACATAAATCATCAATAAATTTGTAATAGTGTTCTTTTAATTCTAATTTATAAAGCTTTATTCATCTGTAGCAAAGATACATAATAGTAATAATAATGAAAGAGAGGAGAGAAAACAACACGTGGAAGAAATGTATCGAAGCAATAATCATACATCTTCAGTAAAATGAAGATGTAAGGATGAGGAACAAGGACGTGTTCTTCTTGGAAAGCATATGAACACCAGGCAACCAACCAAGCGCACCGGGGGAAAGTTATCGTCTTTAGTACAAACAAAAAAAACAAAGAAGAAGAAAACTATGGGAATGAGAACAACAGGTTACTTACTCTACTTCTGTGCTTTCAATTTCTGGAAGACAGTAACAACACAGTAAAACAATCGATAGGAAGCAATAAATCATTTATCCAATCGGAAAGAAAGGGATTATGGGTGGGTGTGTGCATGATCGATCAGTCATTACTCCAGAATTATTATTATTATTATTACTATTACTATTTTTATTATTGTTTAAGACAGATTTTCAGGGAGAGATAATTATCATTAAGGAATCAAAATGTATTTTGTACAAGAAAAATAAAACCAAACTGACAAAAATTCTCTTTTTTCATCAACTGACAATTCATGTTTCTGAAGGAGTTCGGTGTGTGCTGGGAAAGTAGTAAAAGTAGGTGGGTGGAGTATCATGAGTAAATGAGAAGTTAGTCGTCAAAGTGTGCTATCATTCTGTAGGAATATTACGAGTATGAAATCGAATTCCCTGTTGTTGTTATTATTATTATTATAGAAATTAAGGCAAAAAATATGTGTATCTGTAAAAATTGTTTTTATTCCACATTTGTGTGCTTACCAGTACCTTCACAAACTCTCTCTCTCTCACACACACACGCACACTCACAAACGCTGTCATATGCATATACAGAAATGTGTTATATGCATACAGAATAAAAAGACATAGGAGGACCAGAATTTGTGCTCTCATTTACTGTATAACCACCACCTCCATCAGGTCCAGTTGATGTTGCTGCTGCACCGACTGGACTACCTCGAGATGACATATTTGGTCCATTTGATGTCACCGTGTTTGTCGCTGCTGCTGTTGTTATTGTTGTCGTTTGGAGTGATGACTGTTGTGGTTGTGATGCTATTGATGTTGTTATCATTAATGTCCCAGAGATCGGTGGAGGTGGAAATGAAGGATAAATAAGTTGATGCGAAGGGAAATACGATCGTTCATCATTAATATTATTATTATTGTTATAATTACTATTCAGTGTTGTTGAAGTATTCATTACAGGTAGGAAATAATTATTCTTCAATGTACCATTTTTCATTTCTGTAATATTTAATGTTCTGTAATTGTTATTACCATTATTATTACTATTATTATTTACAGTTCCTGGCCATGATGTTTCTGAATTACTTAAACATTGTTCTGTTAATGGTGTTTGAGGTTCAGAATGTATCATTGTTGACTCAGGATTCATTAATGACGATTGCCAGGTTATATCATCAGTTCGTTTGGGTAACTATATAAATATAAAAACAAGAAAGTAAAAAATTAAACAATCAAATCACAATTGTGAAGTGTAGATTATGCTACTGCTCATATGGTTCATATATTTTGAACTCTACCTACAGCCTATAATGCAGTAAGACTTTTTGTAGAGCTTGACAACTTTACGTTAATATCCTACAATGTTTAATAAATGCAAAGTTGGAGGATTTCATCATGAGCTAATATCAGTTAGAGAAATATCGGAAAACCTGCAGGGAGTAGTGGACAGCCAACTGCTTCGTCCTAGTTTGGGAATCTTCAGCACTGCGCACCCTCTGGAGTTCAAACCAAGGACCTTCTGGTTACAAGGCGAACTCGTGGACCACTAGCGACTGGCCCTATTCAGGCAGTGACCTGGGGATCTAGTGGGAAGCCGTGACCAGTAGGGTATAGCAGGTTGAAGGTGAGGCAGTAACTCATCGAAGACATTGTGAAGTCGTCGCGCTGTCATGAAGTGGCAGATGTTAGAATTCATGGGCTGGCCATTGGATCGGGTCCCAGTGAGTGGTTTAATGGTCTATGAGCTAGCTCGCCTTGTAACCAGAAGGTCCTGGGTTCGAACCCAGCAGTGTGGATGCGTACTGCCGATGATTCTCAAACTTGGATGAAACAACTGTCCAGTACTCCCCGCAGGTTTTTCAATGGTCCTCTAACTGATATCAATCTGTGGTCAACTTGTAAAGACTAAAGTTACTATGATTTATAAAATCAAAAGTAATATAATTGAACCAAGATAAAACTAACTAGCAATCTACAGAGGAAAGATAATATGTAGAAACAGGACAACTCGATAGTCAACAATACAAGTTTCGAATACGTTGAATGTGGGAGGATACAAAAGGTGCCATAGAGATCAATTTTCAGCCATATCAGGAATAGCCTACAGCTACTGCCTCTTAGCATCTCGAGGACCCCAACCAGGAAGCCTGAATCTATCTACGTGGCTAAAATCAACTGTCAGAGACTTCATAGATTGATGTCATGTTTTGATTTGATTACCCCTCACTCTTTCCCAATCCGATCCCGTATCAACCAAAATTTTTCGACGAGGAAAGCGGTGATTCGGCATGCACAACGCATGTCCTATCCATCTGAGTCGATGTAACTTCCCAACCTGATCGATTGGCTTCCCTTTCTTACCTAGCAATCAATGATTATCTCATACCACTTAGCACAGAAGACACAGCGCAAACACTTACGATCACAGGATGGCTAACCTTTTCATATCTTCCAGCTTCAATGGCTATATCTCATAGTCATAAAGAATGACAGAGCGAACTGCTGTGCAGTACACATTATCCTTTGATCGATGGTGACTTATCCAGTGAGACTTTGTTCCAGAGACTTTCCAGGAGTATACGAAGAACGTTCTACACAGCATACCTATGTTTGTCATTCTCTAACCAACGAATGATTGGGACGCAAACGAAGGATAAGCTTGATAGTTTTTACACATCTATGTGCATCTATCAATTCAACTGCATCTGCGGTGACAATTATATTGGGCGTACTACTAGACAACTTAGCCAACGTGTTAGTGAACATCTCCCATCGTGGTTTAGTAAAGGGCAGACAAAAACAATCCATGGCTCAATTTCGTCACGTTGAGTTGATAGTGATCATGTAGTGGAGAAAACGAGAGCTTTCAAAATAATTCATTATATCCCACCGAATCTCCCAAATAGACTTCGTGTTTGTCTACTGCACAAAGCTGAGGCGATTGGCACTCGAACTATTAAACCTAAACTATACATCCAAAAGAAGTTCGTACAGCCATTATCCCTCCCTTGGCCTATTAAGACATAACCAACTAATGAATTTTACACCACGCCTTGTTTATATTTGCAACCCCTTTTCTTATCATCCCTTAATCTTATCGCATCTTCATTAAAAACGTGTATCATTTACTTCCCTTACAATCTAGAATTACGTAATCGGTTCATTTGTTTTTACTAACCTTTATCGACTACTTCTACCTGAACATTTGTTTGTTTAATCATGCTGTTTTTTCATTATTCGTGTTATAATATACTTTTTATTTATATATATATATTTTATTTTTAAAAGAAGAGGAGGTGATTCATTTGAAGTCAAGGCATAATCATAGTTTTTACAGAAAGCTAGACTGTTCAAATGCATGTACCTGTGAAAGACGTTGTTGAAATGAAATGTGTTCAAACACATTAGCGTAATAACCACATGAACTTACTTTATATTCAACTGGTTGTTGCAGTTGCAGCTGTTGCTGTTGTTGTTGGTGGTGGTTATGCTGATGCATTTGTAAATTCGATTGAACTGGCAAGTTCATTCCAGCTGCCTGATAGATATTGTATGGATCTCCGTTAATTGTCGAGATAAACGGAGTGTTGTTTTGATTCAACTGTTGAAACTGGTTAGCAGTAAGTGATATACGATTTATCATATTACCTGCCCCAGTAAATCCACCTTCTCCGATTTGTGAACGTGGAAGAAATAGAAATCCTGCTGGGTTTTGTTGATTTAAAGTAGAATGAAATTGTCCAGTATTATTAATGATAGTACCAGTGTTACTGGAAACTAGATTTGGTGAAATATGCGTTGTGTGTAATTCATATGTGGGTCCTGTAAGTGGTAATGAAGTAGGTCCGTTGTGATTTGTATTCAGTGCTGTTAAACCAGACATTGGATAATTGCCAAGTCGTGAAACGATAGGACGATAATAATTCGATGGGATATTATTGTCTCCACAGTTAATAGATACTCCGTCTGACAGATCGGATGGTGGTGGCGTAAATCCAAATATCGACGCACTAGCATATTCAGGACCTATTAATCAAAATTTTTAAGAAAAACACTTTTAAATTTAATAGTCATTTTGAAAATAAGAGAAAACGCTGAATTGTAAATTCTCAGCTAATAAGTCAGTCCACAAAGTGTGTGTGTGTGTGTGTGTGCGAGTTTCGGCTTTGTCATCCAAATATGTTTATAACGCAGCAGCTGACAAGACATTCTATTGCATACTAAAATCTGTATGCATTAAGTAGTAGCGTACATGTTTTATCCTGCGTCTATGAAAAATAGCCACTGAAAGCAGAAGACTTTCAAAGACTTCATGTCATCGGTAGTCATAGTGTAACAACAGAAGACAAGGGCCGGAAACAGATCATTTTATTACGGAAATCAGCACGTATTTATATATATTTCATGTACATTATTATAGCTTATTCAAGCAGACAAACACAGTCTTCTGATTGGTTGTTTCTGGTTTCTCAGAAAGTTAAGCCATATATTTGCGAATCGTATTTGCCCACGTTAAGTCTGCTGTGATTGGTTGTTGAATCAGCCTTGTTCATATTTTCTCACGGCCAATATTAGTGACCTAGACATTGACGTAAATTAATGTCTACCAATTGGCTGGCAGCCTGCTCTCACCACAATAGTTATTGTGACATCATCAGAGTATGACGGATTCATCATGAAGATAAATTTGAAGTTTAGATATAAGCTTCCTATTAAAGAAGTAAGCCAACTGATATTAAGATTCTTAATGTTCCTCCCTACTCGGCGATTGAATATACACTATTGTTTATGCTAATATTCTATACCGTAAGTATTATAGGAGAGATTGTTACACGATCGAATAGCGAAATGAAAACAATTTAGTTTTCAACTGTCAGACAGCTGAATCAATGCCCGTAGATATTAAGTGATGAGACTTGACATCGGCCATACAGATACATTTCTTGCCTTCACTTTCCCCAGTGGAACATAGGGCTTCAAGCTAGATGCTTGAAGTTTCTGTAACAGTGGTGATTATTTTTTACAGGATGGGGTTGCTAGTCTCATGCCCAACCTTTCCTCTTCACCAGCATTATTTATGGCTTAGCGAGGGTAAAGGAGTGCGTCTGTGGCCGGGGATCGAACCCCGGACCACCTGATGGCCACCGACGCACAGATACATATGCCTTCATTATTGCTTATCTTCATTTAAATCATAGTAAAATGTGCCTGTGTTTCTTGTAACTCTACCTCGATTGATTTTAGAACTTGGTACAAAAGAGATGTGATACTATCAATCTCATTTCTTTATCTTTTGAAAGCTGCTGCTTCTTGCTTTCATGTTCTTGGTGTGATGCATGACTAGCTTAACCGTCAAGCAGTAATACAGAGTACCATTTCAAAATACCTGTTATGTTTTTGTTCTTCTGATCTACCTATCCTCATGAGTACACAACACTGTAATCAAGTCTTTGAGAGTGAAGTGTCTAAATCATATATTATCTAGATAGTTAGAGGCAATCGGCCACAGGAAGCTCTGCTTGACCTAGGTTTCGTACTAGTTAGCACTCATCAGCAAGGCGTATCTGCCACCTTGAAGGAATTCATATCCCTCCTGAGATTCGAATCCGTGTCACCCGGTGCTGCAGTCAGAGCTATTCGGACTCGCGGTTGACCTCCTGTACGACTGCATAAAATACTTTGGCTGGACACTAGTTATTGACTAGTGTCTACATTATCATCCATCACTAAACAATCGTAGTATCAGCAATCTTTCTAAAAGAAATGAATACTACTCACAACAAACATTTCACTGGTCTAATACAGATAAACAAACGATTATATATTTTAAATGGTAACATTGAAAGTTGAAATAAAAACAATTCACTTCAATGTAAACAGTTTAGTGGTACCGCTGACAGTGTTTACTAAATATGTGTGAAACTGAATACCATTCGCTATAAAGCTTATTCTTTGAACTTATTAAATCAACACAAATATGAACCAAAGAAAAATTAGCAACAATTTAGAAAAATCATACTCAAGGAAGCCGACACAACTCACCACTATGTAAGGGGTAAAAAGTGTAAATAAGATAGTAAGGGATTTTTCTAATCTTATGCAACTTTCCAAATTCATTACTCATAGCAGTGAACTCTTAATGATGGATATAGTAAGCGTTATTAGATTCATTCATTGTAAAACATTGGGAATATCTGACTTTAATCTGTGCAAATGCCATAGGACATTCATTATATTCAACCTACACAATTAACTTGTGCGTCGGTGGCACAATGATAGAGTTGTCGCCTACCACACCTCACTTGGTCTGGGGTTCGATCCCCGGCCACAGATGCACTCTTAAACCTCGCTAAGCCAGTAATAAGACTGGTAAAGAGGGAAGGTTGTGCATGCAGCCAGTAGCAGCCCCATCCTGTAAAAATAAACACCATTACTACCGAAACTTCAAGCCTCTAGTTCCACTGGGAACGTAAAGGAATAAAAAAAATAGGGAAACAATTATTTGCGATAATTTGCTTATGCAAATGATCAGATAAATATAAACATAGGAATAGTTAAGAACCTTGTATAAGTTGTACACGTGTACAGGTTGCTACACTGCATACCATAATACCAAAGCTAGACTGATACTATGGGATCACGATGGATACTTTTCATTTGTAGGACGAGTATAGAAGCGGTTTTCATCACGATCTTATATTGAGTAAGTTAAGCACCATTAAAAAACTAGGCAGTACTGAACAGTCGATCTTATCTTAATTTGAGTATGTGAAAGTGTAAATCCACAACCGTATATAGAGTCGATTCCAAGAGCTACATGTCATATGACGAGCAAGTTACTATTCAACTATTCTGTCTAGGTCTAGTCACCCATGTTTTCGAACGTTTGAATATGGAAGAAGTTTAAAATGGACTCCACAACGGTTCGTTACCATACACCTGAAAAGGATCGATATATCACATTGATTTCTGGTGAAGTATGCCTTGATATCACAAACAACCTTCCATTAACTCATCATCTGATAACAGGGTTTTTAGTTTACTTTTGATGAGAATTACGAATATCGTAGTGATGATAATGAAAGTATGTAAAACGAAAAAGAAATCCAATAATTTCCAGTGTTTGTTTTGTTAAGCTATTAATTAGTCACATAGAAAACGTACTCATAAAATGCGAGAGTAGAGATGGGAGAAAGAATAATTTTTATGAAAAGTAGTGAAAACACTCAGATTTCCTATGATAAAGAGTTAATGTATCTGCACTATTGTGAACAATTCGGAGGCTATGTCACAATGATTCTACAACAGTTGACTTCTAGTGTTACAAGGACCCAAAGTGAGGTAGCCTATATCTTCTTCCTACATAGTATATATCAGTAATCAGACCACCGATAAAAAGACGCTAGAAGATCTGAATTTCGTGAGTGGATAGTTCATGTTTAGTGCCACATAAGCTCAAAGACTTACAGGCGAAAACCAACTAACTAGCTAAAGAAGCAGGTGAAGAAGACAGAATTCCAGGTGAATAATACAGAGAGGACGGAGGTGATGAAGATAACCAAACATCACCACCAACAGGAGAGATTTGAAAGAGGTCGATTCCTTCACTTATCCGGCTAGGAAGCACGGTTTCAACCACACGCCAGAGGAACAGATGAAGATGTCAAAGCTGGTCAGTCAGAATCAGGAAGGTATGATATACCTTCATCAATCTGAGATCGGTTTAGAAATCTTCTGCACTCAGCCTGCATAAACAACAAGATTCGGATTTTTAACACAAATGTGAAGTTAGTCACTTATTTGGGAAGTACCATCAGCCCCAACGGGCTGATCTCTGACGAAATCTCAGCACGGATACAAGGGGCTCGTTCCGCATTTGCCAGTTTACGCCGACTCTGGCGTAGACGAGATGTTCGACTATCGACCAAAGGGCGGGTGTACTGTTCATCAGTCCGCTCCGTCCTCCTTTATGGTTGTGAGACATGGCCACTCAGAGTGGAAGACATGAAAAGACTAGCTGTGTTTGATCATAGGTGCCTGCGCTCTATTTCCCGTGTAAAGTGGCATAATAAGGTGAGCAACATTGAGGTTAGGCGTAGAGTTCTAGGTAAACAGGGGAAATCAATCGACGAAGTCGTGAAGCTACAAAGACTGAGATGGTTAGGACATGTGTTACGTATGCCAAGCCATCGCCTCCCTCGACGAGCAATGTTAGCGGATATAGGGTCAGGCTGGAAAAAAGCTAGCGGCGATCAAACAAAAACTTGGCCTCACCAGTCAGTGAAATCCACAACAGTTGGTCTAAGCCACGTAGGAAGGTGTAGACTTCCAGACTGGGGTCCTCGGGACGGTAAAAATCTATGGTTGGAAACAATTGGTGACATGGCTCAAAATCGTTCTCAGTGGCGCAGATGCATCCACTCCTTGTGACTTATGATCTCCAATGAAACTGTTTTGTTCTTCGTTATTACTCCTTCTTTGTCTCACCCCTCTGCTCACAGTTTCTATTATGCTTTTCTTATACTTTCTTCGCTTGCTTCGCGTGCTACACGGAGTGTGGCGACTTGAACTTCCGCACATTTGTGCAAAGTTCTATGTCGAAAACAGACAGACAGACAGTCACTGATTCGATATGGGTCTGAAACATAGCACTCGCGTCATGGAAACCATTTCCAACCGGCTACAGTAGACTTTTATCAACAGTTGTCTTCACTGGCTCCATACTAAAGAGATCAAATGGCCAGAAAGAATCAGTAACAAGAAACTCCCCGCTGGGAACAAACCAACAGAGCAAGAGCCGATCGCTCAACAAATATGTAAGAGAAAATGGAGATGGATCGGGCATACACCGAGGAGGCTGTCGAATGAAATTGCGCGCAATTCAGGCCATTACTCGAGTATAATCTGAATTGGAAGAGACAAGTGAGTCGTTGGTGCGAGGGAAACATGGAGGAGATTGTGTGGCGAGGAGGAGATGAGAGAATAAGGTTAATCGTGGAGCCAGATGAAGAGGACGACAGAAAATAGAAAAAATGTGGAGATGTGTTGTTGAAGCCTTATTTTTCACTTGGAACCCAAGGGAACATTAATAATAATAATAATAATAATAATAATAGGAAAAAAGGTGGGAGAGAAAAATATATCAGATGATGTTGGTCAAACGAAGAAAATTATTGAGTTATAAGCATATTTATCATTCAAATAATGTTGTGTGTTAAATGTGTTAAAATGTTATTTCATTTCATGCAACATTTAAAACTTGTAGTACATACACCAGTCAGTGATTTATATTAATTTGTGTATTAATGTCTTGTGTTAGAGGATGAATGCAATGTAATTGAACGCGAAAGAAAGCATTCACCGTCACCATCATCATCATCATCATGCAAAAAATATCTCCAACCTACCGTATGGTAGCAATAAAAATGATCTTCTTGGGGATAATTGTAGTATTGACTGCGGTGGGATAACATTTTGGCAGGGAATTGAAGATCTCTTTATACATCCAGAATGTATCACATTCGATGGGTGGAGTTTTTCATCACTATCTGGCAATGAGTGTACAGAAGATCTGTGACTGTTATTGCTTTTTAGGAAAAATGAAGATATTTGTTGTGATAGGGGACGTCTTTTTCTCCGGTTTACCAGATGGTTGGTGACACCTTGTTTCGTTGACAATTCACCACATGACTGCTGCCCTTTAACATCTCCTTGTCTCCTCATCAGAGTTGTTTGTTCTTCAGAATCGATGCGCTTTGATTTCCCACTAGAATTCCTTCCAGAAGCAAATATCTTTGAAAGATAACTGTTATCATTGCCATACTGTTGTTGCTGCTGTTGTTGTTGTCGGAGGGAAATAGGAAGAACATCTTTCAAAAGTGTTGAATTATCTTCACCATTGTGACTATTAACCAGATTCGTCTGTTTATCTACCATAGTGACACAGGGAGATCTTTCTTTCTCCAAAACCATATTTCCTGAATCATCGCCAGTATGGTTCACATTCTCATCATAATGATATGGATGTAATAAAGTTTGATTTTCTAAAATTGGACTGTAACACCCATCAGCTTGTTCTGAATTTGTCCCACTGACTCCAGAATAAATAGTATTACTGTTGACTAGACTATTACGTATACTTGTATACAGACTAGCACTATCTTGTGCTCGACTGTCATCATCATCATTACTATTATCACAATTGTTCGCATGATATTGCCTTTCCATAGTTGATGTTATAATTGGCTGTAAGATATAACCACTGTTTGTCGTCAGTGACGGAAGAACAATGTAACTAGGCATAAAATTATCTAATCATTGTCGAGGTATTTTGTTTTGTGAAACAGTGTATCACATAATGGTTTTGTTTTTAATCATAGGATGAAATTGATCCGTTCGTAGACGTATTCATCATTCATATAATAAAGGTATTACGTATTTACGTAAGTGTGATGTATACGCGTGAGTGAGAAAAAGCATGATGATGACGACGGTGATATTCCATTGTAAAACAGCAGATATATGCAAAGAAAAGAAAGGAAAATCAAAAAATACTGTATAGTATTTTCTGTGATAATTTTCCCTCTCTGTGTTTTAATACCTGTAGTGTGATTATTATTTCGTATGTCTGAAGCATGCAATTATTGTCTAGAATGATGAGAGAAAATAGTAAGTAACAGAAGGGAAAATATATTGTAAAGACTAGCAACTTAGTAGTAATCCATTCTATTTTTAAATCATCCACATTTACTCCCATTTAGTGATAATTTCCATCAAATCGTGCTGCTGGGATTTGTCAAGAAACAATGAATAACTCGCCTGTATACCCACTGGTCCGTAAAAACCTGAGATTTGATGATATTAGATAGTTGGAGGCAATCAGCCACAGGAAGCCTTCGACCTGGGTTTCGTGCTAGTTGGCACTCGTCAGTCAGCAAGGAACTCATGTCCCTTCTGAGATTCGGACCCGCGTCACCCGAGTGACAACTAGCACGAGACCTATGTCTAAGGCTTCGTGCCGATTACCTCCAACCATCTAATATCATCAAATCAATGTGCACCGTGATGGTGAGCTACCTAGAATGGTGGCCACATTGTAAATCTGACTGATAGAATTCAGTCTCCACCAAAGAAAGGTCTAGATACATCACGCTAGTTACTAGTGTCCAATCAAAATATCCACTAAAGTCCTACAGGAAGTCAATCGCAAGCCCGAATAGCTCAGTGGTAATGTCTCTGAATGCAGCCCCACTGGGTGACGCGGGTTCTCAGAATCTCAGAAGGGACATGAGTTTCTTCAAGGTTGCAGATACGCCTTGCTGACTAGTGAGTGCCAACTAGAACGAAACCTAGGTCAGGCTGGGCTTCATGCCGATTCCCTCCCACTATCTAATACCATCAAAGTCTGCGATTGTTAGTCGTAAGAATTCGATTTAATGGTTAGAAGACTGATACTATACTCTTGATGATTAAGCATCATCTACATGACGAAGTATGTTCTCAACAGTGTTCCAAAGGAGAAAAATACCTTCAAAGATTACTACGCTAAAATGTAACTTATCATTCCAGATTATACGATTTATGGTGATCTTGAATTAATTTCAACTGTTCGATTCTCATCACAAACTAACATCGGTCAGAAAGAGAGAGATCAGTGAAAACCAGGGAGCAGTAGACAGTTGATTTATTCTATTTTGAGACAGACACATGAAACACTGGAAAAACATTTTACAATGCCATTTCTCATCATGTTACTAAAATTGTTTTAAGTAGTGTATTTAGTTAACAGCAAACATTAAAGCCGACTATAGACATAAACACACTTATTGTAGATAAGGAATCATTACTAGTTCAGAAGTAGTCAAGACTGTATAAATTATTTTACAAAATTACATTCGAAATCTAATATATTTGGTAGCAAACTAAAATTTCGACCTTCATGAATGCATCAGCACTCATGTGGACGTGTAGATGAATTATTACAGTGACAATTAATTGTGAACTGTGAACACCATCATCCAATGGTCTAGTTCCTCTGGATAAAATGATCGAGACTTCGATGCAAGGAATAAAAGTACACAAGCAATAAGTAAGACATTTTAAAAAAAACCGCAACTCAGTAACCAGGTACAACCTCAAGTACTCAGGATTAAAAGCTCAGAAAAAACAACAAATGAACTGTATAAACCGTAATCCGTTCAATGGAGCAGACCGCACACGAAATAAAAGGAAACAAAACAGGGGAAAAGGATATATGCGAAAAATTATTGGCAGAGAACACAAGACATAACTAAACCACTGTTATAAACTTACTCATTCCACCCAAACTGTTCAAATCACTAGCAACAAGTGTAGTAGCCAACCGATTTGGATTTGTTTGCATATACAGGCTTGTCTGTGCAATAAATTGATCATTATTGTTGGTGGTGGTGCTGTTCACATTTGCATCACTGACACCGCCATACATTGTTGTCTGAGGTACACGAGGTAATAATAAATTAGCGGGTGGCAGTGGTGGGGGTACAGATGACACGTAGTCCAACTTACCGACACCACCAGTTCCACCGAAACGAGTATTATTTGTATTATTATTATTATTGTTATTCACAATCACCGAATTACTGTCTGTAACTGAAGTATTATTGTTATTGTTATTACTATTATTCATAGCATACTGTAATAGGCTGTTCGGATGGTGTACCACACCAACACCTCCACTACCATTCGGTAGACAGTTATGTACAAAATTCTCTGTTGTCCTAGCATTCGGTGAGAGTGTTGGTATTGATTGGAGTAGTTTTGCAGCCTCAGGAATATTCATTGTATTCACAACATTATAATTCATTAGACTGTTGTTATTATTATTAGGATTATTATTGTTACCGTATGCACCAATCAGGGAGATAGGTGAATAAAAGCCACCGGATGGATTAGAGGATGAAATTCCTGTTGTCTCTACTGCCAACTGTTTACAGCATTGATGTTTAAAGTGTAAATGATGTCGACATCTTCTTTGTACAATAATTATTAAAGCGAGTAGAATAAATAAGGATAATATACCGCCTAATACATAAGATACAATGACAATAATTTGAGGTAACTGCGTTGATGGTGTTGTCGATGTAGACATTGACTTCGACGATGATGATGACGCTGATGCTGACGCTGCTGCTGATGATGACGATGAAAGGTAATAATTTTCACCGTTACTCGAACTTTCTGCACCTGAAAGTCTTTCATCATGAGTTGATATAGATGATTTTTCATTACCAACAATTGGTGATTGAACTTCTGAACCACTATTCATTTTGTTCGCTGAAACAATAATCGTACACACAAAAAAATAATTTCATTAGTTGTTACACATTGAATACAAAGCAGTAAACCATTAAATACGAAAGCTAGTCACACGACGTTGAAGGAGTGCTATAAAACAGTCTAACGTTGAAAAAGTGAACGAAATTATTTCCTACGTAGAAAAAAACATATTGATAGTGAAAGCACCAATCCCCCAACGAAAGCTGAATGCAGTCTTGAATGCAATCAAGCTTCTGAAAGCTGGAAAAGCAGCTGGACCAGATGGAACACCCGTGAAGCACTGAAAGCGGACCCAGAGACGAAAGAAGATATGCTGAATCCACTATTGCAAAAGGTCTGGAAGGAGAGAAAGGTGCCTACTGACTGGAGGAAAGGTTACTTCGTGAAACTACCAAAGAATGGCGACTTAGAACTCTGCAAGAACTGGAGAGGAATCATGCACCTGTCGACGCCAAGTAAAATCCTGAATCGCATCATCCTGGAGAGAATAAAGGACGCAGTGGATACAGAACTCCAACCAGAACAAGCTGGATTCAGGGAAGGCAAGTCATGTTTTGACGAAATTGCAGTTCTACGCATCATCATCGAACAAAGCATGGAATGGCAATCAAACCTCTACCTCAACTTTATAGACTTCGAGAAGGCCTTCGACAGAGTTGACCGAGAAGTAATATGGAAACTACTCGAGTACTACGGCATACCCCAAATATTCATCAACCTTATTCAACAGCTGTACGACAACGGCACATGTCAAGTGATCCACAACGGAAAACTCAGCGAGGCGTTTGGAGTAAACACAGGAGTCAGAGAAGGGTGCTTACTATCACCAATGATATTCCTAATTGTGGTGGACTGACTGGATTATGCGTCAGACAGTGAGTGGGAAACGAGAAGACAGGGATATCCTGGACCGACCGACGTGAAGAAACCTAGAAGACCTGGATTTCGTGCGCGGATGATTTATGCTTGGTGTCACACAAAATCGAAGACTTACAAGCGAAAACCGACAAACTTGTCGAAGAAGCAGACAGTGAAGAAAGGACTCCAAGGGAAAATAGACAAGACGGAGGTTATGAAAATAACCAAACAACCAACAACAGCAGCAACATCCAGCGCCAATCACTATCAACGGGGGGATTTGAGAGAGGCGACTTCATTCACTTATCTGGGGAGCATTGTCTCAACTACAGGAAGTCGGAACGGACGAGGATGTCAAATCGAGCGAGAATCGGGAAGGCGAGTGAGAAACACATTCATCAACCTGAAACCAATCTGGAAATCTTCGTCACTCAGCATCAACATTAAAATTTGGTCGGATTTTCAATACAAACGTCAAGTCAGTCAGTTCTTCTATACGGATCAGAAACTTGGCGGGAGGGTCACAAAGAATATTTCAGACCTTTATCAGCCAACAACTGTCTTCGCTCTATACTGAAGATCAGATGGCCGGGTTGGGAAGAATCACCAACAAGAAACTATGGGAACAAACGAAACAAGAACCAATCGTCGCCCATGCAGGTGAAAGTGGAGATGGATTGGACACTCGCTCGCTAAGGAGGCCGGTTGGTGACATTGCGCGCGCGTCAGGCCATCGCTCGAGTGGAACCCGAAAGGGAAGCGGCGAGTGGGTCGTCGGTGCAAGAGTGACATAGAGGAGATCGTGTGAAGAGGAGTTGAAACAGTATGAACTAACATGGATGCAGGTGAAAAGTACAGCAGAAGACAGAAGCAAGTGGAGACGTGCAATTGAAGTCCTATGTTCCACTAGGAACCCAAGGGAACAATAATAATAAATAATAATAAGATAGTGAAAGAGGAGTAAGTCATAAAAATGAAATAATCTGTATTTGCTTTCATGGTTAACTAAATTCAAAGAACAGGCAATAGTATTTTCTATTTCAAGTAAAAATCACTCTCTAACCTAGCACTTTATAGTATGTATGTCCATGAATATTTCAGATGAGAAAAGGTTTGAGTTAATATACAGGATTACAACCCACTTCCTTTAGATTATCAGCTGAAGAACCTTATTGTCTGATATAATAAGCTTAAATTTGAACTGCATCTTAACTTCATTGTAGCAACCAACTCATCTAGTCATCTTTTACAAAAAAATTAATCAATTCTAGGATAACTCACTCGTGAAGTCACCGGCTGCACCATTATGTGGTGCTTCTTAAGATCTCTAAGCAGTGGACAATAACAATCATCGTTTTACTACACACAAAACACTACAAATCTATATCTACATGGGTTTAAGAGTAACAAGGTGATACATTCGTATCAATTGAGAAATGCGCTTCAAGGACTGCACACAACGCAAAACTATTGAATAACAGAAGTACCAGTTGTTTGGAGGATGGTAACTAGCAATGAGATCCAGGATGTGCACTTCGTCGGTGGCATAGCGGTTAGGACGCTCGCCGACCATGCACATGGTCCGGGGTTCCATCCCCGGCCAGCGCACTCCTTTACCTCGCTAAGCCAGTAGTGAAATTGGTGAAGAGGGAAGGTTTGGCATGAGGCTAGCAACCCCATCCTGTAAAAAATAATCACCACTGTTACAGAAACTTCAAGCATCTAGCTTGAAGCCCTATGTTCCACTGGGAACGTGCAGGAAAACAAAAAAAAAAAGTTGGATATAACTGCAGTCCATCCACAAAGTAACATCAATGTTATTCCTCAGACATTATCGAAGCATCCGTCTTTCTGTCTGTTTTCGACACAGAACTTTCCACCGATGTGCACCAGTTCAAGTCGCCACACTCCATGTAGCACACAAAGCAAGAGAAGAAAGTACAAGAAATGCATAATAGAGACAGTAAACAGAGGTATGAGATAAAGGAATAATAATAACGAAGAACAGTACAGTTTCATTGGAAATCATAAGTCACAGGGAGTGGATGTATCTGCGCTACCCATTGAGAACGATTTTGAGCCATATCACCAATTGTCTCCAGCCTTCATTGGTTTTTACCATCCCGAAGATCCCAATCAGGAAGCCAGTCTACACCTTCCTACGTGGCTTAAACTAACTGTTGTGGATTTCATTGACTGGTGACATGTTTTTGTTTGACCGCCGCTAGCTCTTTCCCAGCATGACCCTATGTCTGCTAACATTTCCGATTGTCGAGGAAGGTGATGGATAGACAGGCATCCATAACACAGTCGATGTAATTTCACAGCCTCGTCGATTGATTTCCCCTCCTTACCTAGCACTCGATCGGCGCCTAACCTCAATATTGCTCACCTTATTATACCACTTCACACGGGAGATAGAATGCCAGCACCTATGATCAAAGACAGCTAATCTTTTCATGTCTTCCACTCTCAATGGCCAGGTCACACAGCCAGTCATAAAGGAGGATGGAGCGAACTGCTGAGCCGTCTACGCCACAGACGGTGTAAACTGTTATATGCGAAACTAGCCCTCTCTATCCGTGCGGAGATTTCGTCAGAGATCAACCCGTTGGCGTTGGCTGATGATACTTCTCAAATAAGCAAAGCGGTCGGCGTGCTATACCACTTCACTCGCTATTTCTAAACTAGGAGTCAGTGTAGTCCAGTCCTGTAACATCATCTTACATTTGGCGGGAGCGAATCGCATGCCAAACATTCGTAGATTGCAGCTCAAGGTGTTCATCAGAAGACTCTGCATTTTGTCAGCGTCCTCGCCTAGAAGGACTATATCGTCTGGATATTCTAAGTCAACGAGATTAATCCCTGGTAGCAAATCAATCCCTGAGTCTCTGAAGTGAGTTAGGCTTAAATCCATTAGTACATCAATGATGAAGCATCCGTCCTACAAGCCGATATGTCAACAGGAGCCGAGTGTTTTGGTTCAATTACTTCAACTGGAGAAACAAAATTGACTCAAACACAAAAGAAATATTAGCTGATTAAATTTTTTTTTTCCAAATTGGCTTTGCTTTGCTTTCTTTGTTTGTTTGTTTGTCTTCTTTTTTTTAAAGGAAGAAATGAGGTTTTCAGTCATTTTTTTTCCAATTCTCTGTATGTATATTTGCCTAATTGCTTTCACCCTGAATACAAAGACACATATCTAGGCTTACTCAAAGCAACATATAAAACATGAATTCCCCCAGAAATACAAGCATTTGTTGTCCATGAAAACAGAAACAAGAATTAAGTGAATGGCATAGACACACATGGAGTAGTTGTGGTAGTAGTAGCGTTAGTATTAGTGAACATGTTTGTTATCAACACTGGTTTCCCATATTTGTCCTAATCAAAAGACAAAAGTTTCCACAGTTAAATAATACACTATATATGACTTGAGATACACTCAGTTGACGCCAGACACATGCACACATACAATACACATGTATCAATTTGTATATACTCTCAGCTGTGTATCAGCCAGCTAGCTAACTAACTAACTAACTAACTATTTAGCATAACTTTACCAAACTATCTACCATCTAACCATCCTCATCTATCATTTCTATCCAAATATCTTTTTAGTTTATTTGGCAGGCAAAGGAAAGATAGAATTGTGGATAACAAGACTGGTAAAACTGAGCAAATTCACCCCCCCCCCCAAATAGTGAAAATATTGCCTTGAGTTGATGGTCATAAACAAAAGCATACTGGAATGCATCAAAAATATGAATTTTAGACAAGGAGATAAATATGCACATAGGTAGTCACACACACAAACACACAAACACAGTTGATGGATAAACACAAAATTGGAAACAAGAAGCATAAAGAAAGAGAGACAAGGAAGAAAACGAAAATGTTTTCTAATTATGACATGATACTACCTACTACTACTACTACTACCTCTGCTACTTTTTCATTTAATAAAACAAACATTAACATGGTTACTCAAGTATCATTATTTCACTCTATAATGAATTGAGTAAAATTTCCAGAAAAGCATCAGATAGTTAGTTAGCTCTCCTCTCTGCTCTCTCTCTCTCATTTTCTAACACTGAAAGACGGATGAACACCTACTAACCAGAATACAATTCTTT